AGGGAGCTCCGGTATCGCGGTTTAGGGATCAGAGTGTTCACCAATCACAAAAATGCACACCATCGACACACACATCCGTGCACACATACACACACACACACACACACACACACACACACACACACACACACACACACACACACACACACACACACACACACACACACACACGCACACGCACACACACACACACATGCATGCTCTCACACGCAATAGAACACACGCGCGCGTACACACACATACATTCACGCACGTGTGCGTACCCACCCACATGCATGTGCACACTCATGTGCATGAGTGGAGATGCCCGCATACACATGTAACACCAACATGCCCTGGGAGCGGTCATGCACGTGTGTATAGTATGTGTGCGAGGGCACGTCCACATGAGCGCATATGCATGTGCATGTTCATACATGCATATGGTGCACACATGCACAAACATGCAGGTCTATGCAAACACACACACGCTCGCGGCCGCCGCGCATACAGTGTGCTCATACATTTCCATAGCCATAGGGTGGCAATGACTCCCAAATATCATGAGTAAATCTTATGAGATTGAAAAACGCACTTACCCAAAGCAGCTTTGGTGTTGCTTGTGGAAGCACGGGGGCCAGGGTGTTGAGCAGTAATTACAGGGCTATCTGTATATATAAATTCTCCATCCCACACTGCTGACACGGAATGACAAGTACGCTGCCCAGGTCGTACCTCTTCTCTTCAACGCAATCAATGAGCGCAAGAGGTTTGCCACATCCAGGATTCTGGCACGCAGACAATCCCACAGCCAGATACCTGAGATGAACGATTCGTCGACCGTGAAGAGGGGCACTGAACGACCTCTTCGCGGGAGTCGAATCCAGTGGCGTTAGTGATGGAGATCGCCCTTTCCGTTTTTCAGGAACTCGATCGATCGTTTGAGTTTGCGAAGCGTCCCCCTCCTCGGCTTCTTGCATCGTCCAGTACGCAGAATGAGAGGCCGCGTCGTGGGTGACGGATTACTCTCCCGCGTCTTCATCTCCAGGACACGTCGGCAGGAGAACCGAGCTATCCAAAAACCGCCAATGTCAAAACAAAGCCGCAAGTACACTAGTGGCTGAGCTTCTTCCTCAAATCTTGTCTCGACTCGAGCACTGCGAAGTCATGGTCAAACTATTTTCTGTGCATGATCGCGTCCCATTTTTCCACTCCGAAAGGCATTATTTTTCAGAAAAAAATTCGGAAATCCAACATGGCGCTAACCGTCGCGAACCTCCTTAAAGCGCGGCTTACACTCCGGAAATACGCTACTCATTCCAAGTTCTTTGTTCAATGCTGTACGGTGGGTAGCCGGTAACCGTACTGTTACTATGGTGATGTGGCCAGTCAACATTTAACGTCTGGTTTGTCCTGATATAACAGTGGGCTGTATGTAGGATATTACATTGTCAACATCGGCCAAAGCCTCTAAGAACTAAGTGTGCCATAAATCAATATCGCAGTCAATATAATGCAGTGAAACCTGGCGAAGACGACCGCTCAAGGGACATTCAAAATTCGGAACAAAATGCAAAATTCTCTGTTACCAGGTGGTCGCCTTGTCCTGGGTCATTTGACTGGAAATAGCATCCCTTGGGCCTGGTTGCAGCGGTCTTCTGGGACAGGTGGCCGCCTTATCCGAGTGGTCGCCTTGACAGATTTTACTGTACAATGTGCGGTCATTCTATACAATCATATGCATCTACACACATGGTTACATTCTCAAGCACAAGCCAGATCTCTGCATTCAGAAAGAACATGTCACAACACTCACACTCTTCCTTAGCACCGTAACTGTATTTTGCACATTTGTGTTCGTTTTATTTTATTGATTACTTCGGAGCACGATTTTTTTATCTCCTCGTCGACTCTTCACATAAATCGAGAAATTGTCCGATTTGTATGCATGTATATCATGATGGTCAGCAGGGTAAGTATCAGCTTTCGGCGTGTTCATCGTTTAGTCCAAACTCCCCATAACATGCACTCTCTGACCGACCTTGTTCACAATACCAACAACCCGACTCCAAGTGGTGGTAGATACTGGCCTGAATTCTTCCATACAGTTGCTTCATTCACAGAGATCCCATCAGTAAAGGTCGTGGAGTACGGAGTGGGTAGAACTTCTTGGTCCTGAAACTTTCATCAACACTCCGTGTGTTATTTCAGTGTGCTATGATGGTGTTGCACAATCCATCTCCATAGCACCTTGCGCGAATCAGTGTGATCTTGCACTTATTCTCCGTCTGTTACCACCGCTTACTGCATGTTAGCTACCAGTGAGCGATAACCCTACTTCACTGTCACAGTGGTTCTCTCTACACTGTAAAAGCCGTATATATAACGAAGTGCTAACTCTAACGAGTTAACGAGCAGAAATCTGTCGTTAAAATAGAAATCGTTATACAGAAATCGATACATATACTGTCCTATTGAGCGCTGAGAATGAGTGAGAATCGTTACCTTTGGTACACGTAAACTAGTCAATTTTGGGAAATCGTCACATATATGCGCATCGTTAGAATAATGGCTTTTACAGTAACAGAGAGTGCTAGTCAGATGTTCTAGCCATTCATTACTCTGCAACCTTCACTGCTGAGATCTCTGTGATTGAAGCAACTGGACAGGGGAATATATTCCAGTATCTACCACCACGACTTGGAGTCGGGCTGCTGGTACGGTGAACGAGATTGGCTGGAGAGCGCATGTGGTGGAGAGTCTGGACCGAGTACGGTGTACATGGTTTATGGATAAACGAGTTTGAGGGACAGTAAATCTCTGTTAAAAAGGATTTGTTGAAAAAAACCAATGAATTAAACAATGTACTTCAGTACGTGCTTACGTAGCGAGCATAGCAACCAAGGTTGTTTTCCAGAGTTTCATCAGTGGACTCTCGTGACCATTTGAAATGGCAAACAGTTTTTTTGTGTTGTGATCTGTGCTATGCCCTGCTGTCTGTGTAGAGTTGCTGGAGGTGGGGATCGGATCACTGATCAACTGTATGCCAGCCCTAACACTCCTCAGCTGCAGCCGTATGCCGTGAGCAGGTGACGCCCGGGTGAGCGCCTGATCGGCGTGCGGCGGGTACGTGTGAGCACGTGAAACTGACACCGTGCCATGTAGGGCATGTCGCGGAACTGGTGTTCGCTGGTTGTGGCCGTAGCATCTCTCGCGTTTCTGCTATTGCATCCATGGATAGCGAGAAGCCCTGCGCCGCCTGTTGCAAAGCAGCGGGTACTGTTCGTAACGTTGGAGTATGCAGACCCAATTTTCAGCGGCAATGGAGTGTTGTCCAGGACGATGGTCAATGCGTTGCTTGCGCTAGACTACGAGGTATGTGTGTCACCCTTTGTCATGTTTGCTGCACGTGTCTTAGTTGCTCCATTCGTACATGTGCGTGTTTCCTTGTGTGCATGTGTGTGTGTGTGTGTGTGTGTGTGCGAGCGTACGTGCGGATGTGGTTGCGTACATGTATTTGTTTGTGTGTGTGTGTGTGCGCGCACGCGCGCGTGCGTGCGCACATGCGTGTGTGCATGTGCGTGTGTGCGTGTGCAGGCTGCAGTTAGCAAATAGCGGCGCTGTATTGCTCCTAAATCATGTGATAAATCAAGCAGAGGATTGCAGGAACCCGTTGAGTTTTCTAAACAATCTTGAGCTCATCCTGTACTGTGTAGTTTACCCTTACTCTCCTGCTGAAATCTTTTAAAAATATACTTTTTGTTTTTTGAAGTACACTCTTCTTTTGTTGTCCTCATATATAAACATGTACAATCTTCCTTTTGTTCACAACGCAGGTACTGGTTGTTTGCGCTGTACCAAGTACATCCGCTTCAGACTTATTATCCTCATCATCATCAGCAGAACATGCCCTACAACGATTCAATATCTCCAGTGGCACCAGCCACAGCTTGCTCAGTGTTGCGGTTCCCGTCAGCAAGTGGCTGCGTCTTGACCGTCACTCTGCCTGGCAGGAGTTTGCCATGGGCATGGCCTCACTGCACAGTCAGGTAGGCCAGCAGTTGTGTACGTTCTGTGCACGGTGTGCAGGCGCAAGTGTGCACACATCTGTGTGTGCATCCGTGTGTGTGTGTATGTGTGCATCTGTGTGTGCGTGCATGTGTGCATTCGTGTGTGCATCCATATGTGCATCCATATGTGCATCCGTGTGTGCATTTGTGTGTGCATCTCTGTGTACATACGTATGTACATCCATATGTGCATATGTGTGTGCATCCGTTTTGTGGATCTGTTGTGTGCATCTGTGTGCGTATCCGTGTGTGTGTGCCCGTGGTCCTGTTGATGTTTCTTTTCAGTGTGGATGCATCCATGTCATTGACTTCCTGTTAGTGCTTGCATCGTCTGCCAATCACAGGAGGGGTAGGAGCGGTCGTTTTAGTCTGATAAGAGGTATATGTATGTGTGTATGTGTGTGTGTGTGTGTGTGTGTGTGTGTGTGTGTGTGTGTGTGTGTGTGTGCTCTCTCTCTCTCTCTCTCTCTCTCTCTCTCTCTCTCTCTCTCTCTCTCTCTCTCTCTCTCTCTCTCTCTCTCTCTCTCTCTCTCTCTCTCTCTCTCTCTCTCTCTCCTCTCCCTCCCTCACTTTCATCTTTTTTAAATTCTACGTTTGCAGGTGGAGGCGTTTGGTGTGGACATTGTGATGGCTGTTGACTGGTCTGGTTGGCATGCTTTGGAGCGACTAAACGATTTGTGGAGGTGCGTTGGATTGGTCTACAGTATAGGCGTATACGAGACTCGTACTCAGTTATTGGCCATCAGGAAATTTCGGCATTTTTGCCGGGGGGTGGGCTAGTGCTCTGGGCAAAGATTGACATGGTGGCCGGCATACATGTGTGTTTGCCAGGGGCGGGGGAGAAGTTATTTATTGATTTTTTAACATGCCGCTCATTTTTTTGACTCTCTCTATCTCCCTCTCTTCTCTCTTCTCTCTCTTTCTCTATGCTTTTCCGCTCTTGTCTCACAGAAGCAAGCCAGCGTATTTCCTGAACTTTCGAGTGTTTTCGCGAAGCACAGAGCTGCTGCAGTCCGATGGCGATCGTCGATTCTACGCGGATCATGAGTGCTGCGCCTTGGCGAACAGCACCTCAACCATTGCCCTGTCCTGCTACGATGCTTGCCGCCTGCACGCCCTATGCCAGTCGTGCCCGGGTGGAAACCCCGGTGCTGGCGTGGCCGCTGGTTTAGACCCGTCCAGGGTGACCGTTGTCGAGCTATCCGCTGAGTTTCCTGACGGCTGCATGCGCCACTGTGCCAGGGCGGCACGGCAGGCGGACATGACGTTCGTCGCTCCGTCCGTGCTGAGGCCGCCCGTACGCAGCGACGTGCTGCGCGTGGGACGCACGCACCGGCGTAGGACTCTAGGTGCGCTGGACAATGCCGGCACCGCGTGGTCACGCCAGCGACGCTTTGTCACGTGCTGCGTCCGACAGTCCCCAGAGAAAGTAAGCACTTTCCTCACCTGGCTGTTTTGTGTTTGAAACCGAAGATACAGCGTCTTGTAAATAATTATTGTAGCCAACTCATAATGATGATACAAGTAGTCATGACGACAAAACTTAATTGTTTGAGTACTCTTTTGATGACCTACCGTATTATCTCTAATATAAGCACGGTCCTTTATTCTTTTCAATGTACCTCCGCCCCGTGCTATTAATGGAGACGTTCCTTTATTGGAGACTGTTCCATTAGTATTTCAACCTCTTTTCAGAGGCATGTTGCCATGCCAAATTCATGTCAGACACACACATTTCAGGGTTTTTTTCGCCCGTACAGATATGAATTTACACAGTGTGCTTATAATGGAGACTGAGCACTTTATTTTTTGAATGCCGCCCCAAGGTGTTCTATTATTGGAGACGTGCTATTATTGGAGACTGCTTATATTAGAGATAATACGGTATGTTAAGAACAAGCATAGCGAGGGCCCTGAGTTAAGTGATCTCTCGTAGCGAGGGCCCTGAGCTAAGTGATCTCTCACAATATAAAGAGCATATAAAGGGCCCTGAGCTGGCAGTTCTCTCGGTAGCTACTCGTTTGGTGATAATGCTACCTACACGGTCACCTGTACGTATTGTCTACTCCCAGCTATCATGGACCACACACGCACTCACGCAAAACATGTAGACAGTGGACCTTGGGTACGCTAGCCAAACTGCATCGCTTTCTGGTGTCATACGTCTCTTGAATAGGTTCATGAGCAAACTTCACTATTTTATTTGAGAATTGTTCTCTCCTTTTGTTCATTGCAGAATGCCATGTTGTTTGCTGACTTAGCGGTGGAGATGGCAGCATTTCTCCGCAATAGAAGCATCTCCTTACGACTCTGTGGGGCTGTAGCCGATCAATCCTACGCATCCTTGGTAAAATCCAGGTACGTGCTGTGCTGCCTTGTGTCTTCTGTACCATCGATGACAAGGCAGATCGGATGAAGTGTGTGTGTGTGTGTAGGGATGTCAGCGAACGCACTGCGCAGGCCTCTGCGCATGCATTGCGTCATCGATTTTTTGAACGTGATCGCGGCCGACAGAGAAAACATGGCCGCGGTCTGTTTGCACCGCTGGGAGTCGTAAAATTACTGTTCTTCTGTCCCCGCGACCATTCAAATCATACGCGATACTCGAGGACCCACGAACTCACCACGTTCTCCCCCGTCGATTTCTCTGAAAGTTTGCACATCGTGAAACACCAGTATGAGAGGTGTTCAGGCCAATTTTCAAGGAATTTCCCTGGTTGGATCGTTCCAAAATCGGACTTCCATTTCTCGCTCGCGGCCATTTCTTGCGCGATGGAAGCGCCCTGCCCTGGTGAGTAACCAGCATCGCGCTGGGTAGAGAGTTGCTGCAATAAGCTCCCTGATGTCTTCGCTGCCATTGTCAGAAGCGATGGACCATGAATTTGTTTGAGAGTCTCTGGATGCTACTACTCCTCAGCCTAGTTTTCAGCCATTCCGTGCATCTTCTTCGCACGATTTATTTTGCAAAAAAATGAAAGTGTTCATGAGTTTTCTTGTCGGCCGCGCGTAGATGGGCCAGGCTGACCTGCGCAGATGGGCTGCGCAGTGCGTTCGCTGATATCCCTAGTGTGTGTGTGTGTGTGTACAAGTGTATCTATTGTGTGTGTATGTGTGTGAGGGAGTGAGTGCATGTGTGTGTGTGCAAGTGTCTGTGTGTCTGTGTGTGCGCGCATGTGTGTGTGCGTGCTTGCTTGCTTGTGTGCAAACTGCAAGCGTTTGTAAAGAGTCTGATCTGTCCTGTCCATGATGATCTGTCAGTTCGCCACTGCATGCTCCGGCTACCTTCAATTTTTACCTCTTTCAGTGTCTACCGGTATGTGCTCTGCACGTGTTGATTCGCATGTTCCTATGCCGTCTTGATGGCACTTAATGATTTATGCTGACTTGAACTCAGGGCATCGATCTGTAGAGCACTCTATGTGTGTGTGCTGTATTTGCCCCCCCCCCCCCTCACCCCATCATTCTCCCTCATTTTCCCCTGCAGGATAGCTGAGGCAGGAGTACAGGTCGAATACTGGGGACGGTTTAGCTCAACTAACAAGCTGATGGAGGCGTTTCAGACAAGGTATGATGATAGGGACGTGTGATAGTAGCTCATTCTACTTGCGCTGTTATCGCGCATGGCATCATTGAAGAACTGCTCGTTTTCAGAAGGCAAAGATCACGTCAGGCACACTCGGTGTGTGTTTGAGAGTGAGTGAGTGAGTGAGTGAGAGAGAGAGAGAGAGAGAGAGAGAGAGAGAGAGATAGAGATAGAGAGAGACCAATGACAGCGTAGCTCTGCTCATACATTTGTGTTTTGTTTTAATGGTTACCTATTGTGCCTTGGCCTTCTGGTACTAGTTGTTGCTGTTTGCCACATCTTGTATGTTGTGTGTATGCATTTAGCTTGCTGAACATTCACCCGTCACTTCATGATGCATTCGGTATGACTGTTGTTGAAGCAGCGGCTGTTGCCACAATCAGCTTAATCCATGATGATATTGGTACGTACTAGGCAGACTTCACTCGAATGCTAGTACAGTACTCTGTTCTCGTGTTATCCTAGAGCGTGTTGTGTGTTCGTCTCTGCATGCATGCGTGTGCATGTCGCTATGAACATGTATTGTTTAATTTGTGTGCATGTACAGTGCTGGAAACTGAAATCCGACCCCCCGAGCGGTGGGTTCACATTCTAGCGGTCTCTGTTTCGTAGTTTTACCATCCCGTGTTGGGTCTTTGCGATATGAGCGCACCGCTCAGGGGGCTCAGGGTGTCTGATTTCAGTAGTCAGCACTGTATGTGTGCATATGTGTGTTCTTTGCATTTGGAACTTGATCCGGCTGTGCACTCTATTAGTGTACACTGAAATCTGTCTAAGACGACCGCTCAAGGGACATTCAAAACCTGGTCTCTGTTACCAGGTGGTCTCCGTATCAGTCTCAGTGAAGCACAGCTGAAATTTGAACTAATCTATGTCCCTGTATGCATACTGTACAGCAGGAAATTTTCGGACGGAATTTATTTTCGTACGATTTCGTACACGGGCCTCTTTTGTACTAAAATCAATT